GGCAACCTGGGAGCAATGGTTGGCGATCCAGCACATGCGACACCACTGGAGGGCAGGAGCCCGCGCCTCGTGAGCCGCTGGGTCTCCTAGGAGCACCAGCTTTGCCGATGCCGACACTCCTCCATGGTAAGGTTTCTGCTGGCCCTGGCAGGTCTCGCGGAACTTGACGAGCTCACTGGCACTCGCGCCATTGATCTCAACTCCAAGGGCGAGCGCAGGCTTAGCCCCCGTCCTGTAGATGCGCGATATGCGCTCCGCCGCCTTCGTCGGCATCGCCGTCCGAAATTTGCCAAGTTTGCGGAGCCTCTGGTTGTGACGACAGGCCCTCGCTTTGCACTTGCCACGTGTGCCTCCTGCTCCGCGCCTCTTTCCTCCAGAGAAGTCGATGCCCAGAAAAAAGACTGCTGGCGCGACCGGCTGCTGCTGCACTTTGAGGCCCTCTGCAATCTGCTTGCTGATGTCGTCCGAGCTACTCGCGATTGCAAACTTGTCGTTGATGGTCGCCTGCAGTTTGCGCGCCACTTCCCGAAAGCCACGGCCTGCGCGGATCGCCTTTTGGACCACCCCTTCTTTGGTGTCTCCTTCCACGCCGACACCAGTATCGTCGATGTAGGACGAGAAGGATATGTACTGGTGCAGCGCGATGTAGGCGTCGTGCTCCTCAACGGCGTGAGCCTTGATGACTATGTCTTCATAGCCATCTCCTGCAGGGAGACCATATGACGCATACTGAGGCCGCAACCCATGGTGAGCACGTGCTCGAATGATCTGTGGGCCCTGCCATTGGTTGAATATCAATTTGATGTGACCATCCTTCGCACCCAGACGGCATAACTTGTCGCGAGCCTGAGCCAGCTCGATCGTCTCGTAGTACTTGCTGTAGTCAGCGATGAGGGTCGCCGCATGCCTGAGACTCGAAAAGCATGCTTCAGCCCGCGCCGACAGCTTCCATGCACTGTCGATTGCCGATCTGCCCGAAGCCGCTCCCCAATAGCTTCTGGCCGCGTGGCCTTGTAGTTCATCAAAATCACCGCACCTCGCCCGCTGCCATGCCCGATAACTCGACGAGTGGAGGATGATGAGGCGATGGCCCCCTGCCGTTTTCGGTAGCATGGGCATGACCATCCACGTGGGCTGCTTGGGCCACATTCCAATCCTCTCGCTGGCTTCCCACAGCGCGCTGAGGACCTCTAAGCCCGCATCGGACAGATGCTGGTAGTGCGAGGGGTGAATGCCATCCAAGCTGCCAGAAGTGCGCGTCGAGAAACTCGCTGGTGCTCGCCTTATGGCCGACGCCGTCACCCCCGGAAGACCACATCTGTTAGGTACCCATGCTGGTGGCGCCGTGGGCGTCGATCGCCATAGTTGGATGTGCACGTTCTCAGCCTCCTCAACTATGCGATGAGGATGAGATTGGAACTGATCAGGTTGACCGCGAACAATCGTAGGTGCCAGAACGTCCTGGTACTTCGTGACACGGTGTAGCCTTCCAGCTCCATTGTCACTGGCTCCATCACACCATTGCTTCCAACGCTGAGCGCTGTCGCGATCTGCTGCTTGCTTCGCCATGCCGATGTCCTCTGCCGCCTCCTCGATCATGCTGGTGAGGTCCTGCGCTGAGGTGCTCGGTGCCGCGAGTGCGCGCCGAGCGTGAGCAACTACATCATCCAGACGCTGACTGACTCCTTGCCCAGCGTAGTCAGTTGAGACGAAACCACGGATCTCATGTTGCAGCTTGTTGCCATCGACCGACTGCTGGTTGGCCTGTAGCTTCACGATCGCTGAGTGCGCGTCCTCGTGCCACTTCCAGCCGTCAGCTACAGCCTGGATGCCCTCTGGGTCCGACCCTTCATACATGTACGATACCCACTTAGGCCGTAACTAACCGCCGTGCGAGCGCGCCTGGATCGAGGAGCCTGTGAGATGTCCGAGTCTGACAGCCGCCTGGGCAGCAAAACGAGCCCATGCGGTAGAACGCAGCCTCCAAGCAGAGCCCACCGAGCCAGACCGTGCCATCTCCGCAGCACCTTCAGCATAGCTTCTCTCGAGCTCCCAGTCGTGCTCGTCCTGCAGCATGGGCCCCACTTGCTTGGACGCCGCGATCTTTCCCCCGCCCACGTAGGTGAGGTACATCAGCTGGTTGCCCATAGTAGTAAGCTTCACGGCCACTGGCCGATGTGGTTTGATGGCCCATGTCATGTCCGCTTGGATGGCCTTCGCAAGCCTCATGGCTCCCGAAGTGAGAGCGAAATAGTCGATCACCGAGTTGGCCGTCGCCGTCCTGCACGTGATGGACTTGGGGACCAGTAGGGAGACCTGGGCATGAGCCGTGAAAGACGATGCCTCGACCTCCGCCGCGGTCATCTTCCAGCCCCCACCTATGATGGAGGGGTGCTGTTGCCCTGCCATCGCCAGCCCCACGTGCATGAGGATCTTGGCGCTCTTCAAGGACATGCCCTCTCCCGTGTGCAGGTAGATGTTGAAGATGTTGAGCGGTGGCCGCCCAGGAACTTCAACCACTGCATGTTGGGCCCGAAACGGCACCAGCTCGCTGCCGAAAGAGATTTTCTCGCTGACCGTGGACCTCCTCGCTGCAGGGCTGGTCGCAGGGTAGGTAGGTCCCCGTTGCCCGATGCTCTCGCGTGCAAGGGTGGCCAGACCTGCAGTTGGGGGCTTGCCTGCAGTCGGGGAGCGTGGAACGACCATGACGTTCCACCTGTGGCTGGCACACCAGGAGCTGAGGGCCTCACACTCCCAGTCGTGGTACCCTATCTCCTGCGCGAGCACGATTAGGGACCTGGTGCAGCTTAGCCTCTTCTTAAGAGTCTACCCCCCTTTATTCGCGTTGTGCGTCTCGACGAAATGGGACTCCAGCGCCTCACTCGGCATCTTGGCAGTCGCCGAGTCGCACCGCCGAGCGCTCAGGCCAGTCACATCTGACACCCGTCGTCCAGCACTCGCGCTGCTAGGAGCCGCCCGTCTTGGCCGCCCCTCCGCTGTCAAGCTTGCGGTGCTTCGTTTTCTGGATGTTGGCGACCATCCCGGCCAGCTGCTCAGGGCTGACGGACGCGTCGCTCTCGTTCTTGCCCTGGTACATGGCTCGGTGGAGCTCCTCGGCGTCACCTTTTTCCCGCATAAGCGATGACTCGCGTTTATCGTGTCGGCCTCCCTGCTCATCTGCAGCATGTTTCCCTCCCCCCTCAGGCTCGCCGTCGCCGTGGTGATGGCCAGGCTCACGAGCACGAGGAGGCCCAGGGGACCTCGCCTGAGCAAGCTTGGCCGCCATGTTCTGCCTGTGCTGCTCCTCCATCTTGGCGAACAAAGGATTGGCCGAGAACGAGGTGTAGAACTGCAGCAGGTCGGGGTCCGCCTTAAGCTGGTCGAACCCAGGGTCGAGCCGCAGGATATCATGGGGCACCTCCGGGCCAGCCTCAGCCTTGCCACTGAGCTTGGCCGCGTGCCCCGCCAACTACGACGTGATAATCTGCTCCTCGGCAACCTTGCTATCAAGGGAATCCTTCTTCTCATCCGACTCCCTCTGGGTCTTCTCCAGCTTCTGCTGCAAGGACTGCAGGTCGTTCTTCGCCGTGCTGATCTGCTTCTGAACCCGCTGAAGCTTCTGCGTGCATTGCTTGTGGGCGATTGCAGGCGTGCGCAGCGACTGGGCCTGCAGCTTGGTCGCCTCCAGCTTTTTCTCGAGGTCACGCACAAGCTCGCCCTCGCCATCGTCCTTGTGCATCTTGATGGTCTGCTCGTACTTTGAGATCTTCGCCTGCAGCTCCGTGCGCTGGGCGACCGATGATGACTCCGCCACGTCGTCACCATCTTCACCTTCGTCGATCTCCATGTCCGGGGCCTTACCGTTGTACTTCTTGAGCTTCTTGTTCTCTGCGATGAGCTGCTTGAGCTGGTTCTGCATCTTGGCCATCTCTTTGGCCTCAGGAGCCCAGGGCGCAATTTTGGACCGAAGCCCCGTCCCTCCCACAGACTTCGAGGGCGACTTCGTGGCCTGTGAACTGCTGCCCGACTCTCTGGCTTGCTGATCTGCTTCCTTTGCCTTCTGCACCAAGTGGAAAGGGGCCGCCTTGCCGCAGCGGCAGACGATGCGACAGGCCCAGTTTGTACTCGTCCCGCAGGGGCAGCCCCACGTGGGTTCACGCGGCCCATGAAGAACCCGTGCGTGTCGTCCATCAGGCTTCGGCACCATCGAACCCGCGGAGGAGCCTTGGTGCTCGTCGAGCCTCTCTGCCGCGCTCTGCAGCAGGGCCTGGAGGCGGGGCGTGGCCTTGCCCGCCCAGGCGTGCAGCAGGGCGCGATCCGCAGCACGGCGGAGTCGCGCACGATGATGGCTGGCCGCCTCCCTAGGCGGCGTCGTGCCGTGCGCTGGTCTCGGCGCGCGCGGGGGGCCCTCGCCTGCGCTGGCAGGCACCCAGGGGGGCACACCTCGCGAACCGAAACTCAGGTGGCCCCTGGAGCACCGCTCCAGTGGTCACGGGCGGCACTGGTAAACTGTAGATGAGGGTGCCGACAGACAAAAACAGAAAGCGGCGGACAGGCAGGAAGGAGGCGACAGGAAATCCTCCGTATCCTCCTTCTCTTCCTCCTCCTCCTGCCTGATCGATCCTCCTCCTCCTCCGCCACACCCTCCTCTCCCTTCTACTTCCGCTCCTCCTCGTCTCCCCTCCTCGCCGACGCCGCCTTACGCTCCCGTCGTAGGCTGTGGCCACCGTGGTTTGGTCGTGAAGGGGTTGGCCGCCGCCATAAACGCCGTCGCCGTGAACATCGTCGTCGCCGTCGCCGTCGCCGTCGCCGTCGCCGCCGCCGCCGCCGCCGCCGCCGCCGCCGCCGCCGCCGCCGACGTCGTCGTCGTCGTCGTCGTCGTCTTCGTCGTCGTCGTCGTCGTCGTCGTCGTCGTCGTCGTCGTGGTCGTCGTCGTCGTCGTCGTCGTCGTCGTCGCTGCTTTTCGGGCCCGCCCAGGCTGGCCAGGGGCGCGCTCGCCGTCAGTGGCCTGGTCGGCGGGGGCCTGCGGCCTGCCGCGGGGGGGGGGGGGGAGGGGTGCGCGCGCAGGGCGGAGGGGACGGGGGGGGGGCGGAAGGAGCAGGGGAAGGAGGAGGAGCAGGAGGAGGGGAAGGAGCAGGAAAAGGAACAGGGGAAGGAGGGAGCAGGAGGAGCAGGGGAAGGAGGGGGAGGGGGAAGCGGAGGAGGATGAGGCGGAGGATGAGTGATGAGGATGTGAGGAGGAGGAGGAGGAGGAGGAGGAGGAGGAGGAGGAGGAGGAGGAGGAGGAGGAGGAGGAGGAGGAGGAGGAGGAGGAGGAGGAGGAGGAGGAGGAGGAGGGTGGGGAGGAGGACACGACGTTCACGACGTTCGTGACTACCTTCGCGGCCGCTGGAGGAGAAGGAAGAGGAGGAGGGCTAGGAGGAGGATGAGGAGATGGGAGGGGAAGGGGCAGGGGGATGAGAGTGCGATAGGGGAGTACAATGGGCCTCAACGAGGAGGGGCGCAAGCAACCAAGACTGGGGTTGGAAACAAACCCGCCCCGAGGCAAGACAAATCCGCTGCTCCGCATGGTTGGTCGAGTAAGCGTCACCGAGGTGGAGAACCACCAGCAGCACACATTCAGTTCTGGATGAAGAAGCAACGAGCATGTCGCGAAACTTCTGCCTTGCAAACGCACAGGAAGCCCCGAACATGCAACGAATCTCGCTCTGCACACGTGTACAATATTAACGAACACGCCACCGAAAAGGAGAGAGGAGGGTGGAGAGCAGGAAGATGACAAGGAACGGAGGGCGGGAGACGGTCGAGGACGAGGGAAAGGGGGGCTGGGAATTCGAATGGCTTCGGAGGTTTCCTGATGGACTTCGTAATGTCTCTAGGAGGAATGGAGCAGCAGGAGGCGGAGGGTGAAGAGTAGTACCTCTGAGACCACTCGTAGTACGATGAACAAGCAATCTGTGTGTGTGTGCGTGTGTGTGTGTATATGTGTGCTCGTGTGTGTGTGTGTGCGTGTGTGTGTGTGTGTGTGTGTGTGTGTGTGTGTGTGTGTGCACGCGTGTGTGTGTGTGCTTATGTTTGGTGTGGGCTCGTCGTCGCCAAGGTTTGTCGGGAATTCGCTCCTGTGTAGCGCGGGCTCCAGGATCCAATGTGACGTTGTTGGCGCGACCTTGCTTCGCCCTGCTCCCTCGTCCCCCTTGCCGTGCTTCCGCCGTCAAGGAGCGGGCGGGGCAGAAAGAGGAAGCTGGAGGGCTCATCCCGCTTTCGCACTCGGCCCCTGCTCTCTGGAGCTCGAATCCCGCAACCGCCACCGCTGCAGATACCACGGCGGCCAGGGCTATCACTGCTGCTGCTGATGAACCTCCCCTCCGGCTACATACTGGGCAAGCTGGTGCGCATCCTACTGCTGGTTGTGCTGCTGCTGGTGCCATCGACGGGTGCTGATGCTGGCTGGTGCTGCCGCAGCAGCTGCTGGTGGCGATGCTGCCGCCGACGCTTGCTCACTTGCTGCCCGTGCTCCTGCTTCAGCTCGAGCTCGTGTGCCCCGGAATGCAGCAATGAAGCAATCCGAACCTCACGGCACTCGAACGAATCGATCACGCAAAGGTGTGCAAGGCCATCGCCTGTCGGAGGACGGCTATGAGGACAAGGAGGGTTAAAAGGATGAGAAGAGGAGGAGCAAGACGTATACCTATGTGTTGGTTGTCTTATGACCTTGCCATCCCTCTCTATCTCTCTCTCTCTCTCTCCCTCTCTCTATCCCTGCCTTTGTCTGCATCACCGTCGTCCACATGTTTCTACCCCCGAGAAAGAAGCGGCGTCCTGCCGGCATCAAGTGCTTCTGCTCTGCCGTACGCCGTCAAGCGTCGCCAGTCTATGTACCTACTCGTTATCATGACCACCACCGTCATATCATCGGCGGCACCCTCTGCACCCTCGGCAGAAGAATGGATACACCCCCCCGCCTCGTGCCCGTGACCTCGGCCGAGTGTGCACAGGCCACCTCGTGCACCACGTCCTCTAAGACAGCCGCAGTCAGCTGGAGATGTGTTGTCGCGCTGCCAGCATCAGGCAAGACCCACGCCCTTGAGAAGTACACGAGCGCAGAACGGGAGATGCGTGGAAGAACGCCTGGGGTGGGATGCGAAGCTCTGGAAGTTCCAGGGTTGCTGTAGCTCTGGAGTGCGAGGGGTCAAGGCCAATAGCAGGGGAGGACGAGACGGGTTAACAAGGGAAGAGGAGCAGGAGGGAGAGGGGGAGTTGGGGAGAGAGGAAGACGTTTGTTCGTTCGTTTGTGTTTTTGTTCGGGGGGGGGGGGGAATTTGAAGGTGGAAGGAGCGTAGGAGGAAGGGGGAGCAAGATGGAAGGAGGAGGAGGAAGAGGAGAAGGAGGAGGAGGAGCAGGAGGAGGCTAGACGCCAAACGAGACGGCCGCCCGACTCGGTGCGGCCGCTCGCTACGCCCGCCGCGGGCGACGGGGCTGGGCGCTGCTGGGCAACTCAGCCGAGCAGCGCGGTGTGCCGTCACGAGGCCCTCAGAACCTTGGCCCCCACGGGGACTGGGGACAAGCAACCAGCCAGCTCGCCTGGGCGGGCCAGACCGCTGACCTGCCCCCCCTCGCCATCTCATCCTCATCCTTCACCCCTCCTCCTTCCCCATCTTCCTCCTACTCCTCCTCTTCCTCCTTACCCCCTCCCCCGACTCGTCCTTCGCTTCTTCCTCCGCTTCTCGCCCACCCGCTCCTCCCTCCTCCCCCTGCTCCTCCTCCCCCTCTCCCTCTCTCGTCCCCACTCCTCATCATTCCGCCCCCCTTCTTCACTCTCATCACCCTCCTCCTCTCCCTCCCACTCCCAACACCTCCGCCTCCTTTCTCCTCCTCGTCCTCCTTTTCCTTGCTCTGCTGTTGCTGCTGCTGCTCCTCCTCCTCCTCCTCCTCCTCCTCCTCCTCCTCCTCCCCCTCTGCTTCCACTGCCTCCTCCTCCCCGCATGCGCCTACAAGTTGTCCACCTCCGCCTCCCCCTCTTCAACCCCTCTCCCTCCTCCCCATCCTTATCTTCCGCTGTCAAGCCCTCATCCTTCTTCTCACCTGCCCCATCCCTCGCCCTTACCCTGCCCTGATACTTCAAGCAATGAACACCTCTTGTTAGGCACACAAAGCCATGAAGGCAAGTTGCAACCGTCTGATGCTGTCCTGCCTCCTCTCCCTCACCCCTCTTGCTCCCTTCCCCCCTCCTCCCTCTTCGTCCTACCCCTCCCTCTCCTGCTCTTCCCCAGCTCTTCCTCATCTCGCTGCCCACGAGCTCTTTCGGCGCTGGCTGCGTTGCCGCGTAGAGCCCACTGGAGGGTGTGAGTGCCCGGGCGATGGCTGTGGCCATCCCTCAACATCTCATGCTCCTCATCGTCGTCGTCGGCATCCGCCTCCTCGTCGTCCTCCTCCCCATCCACCTGCTACTTCTGCTCCACCCCTCTCCTCCAATTCCTCGTTGGCCTCCTCCGCATCCTGACACTCCGTCTGCTCATCCTCCTCTGCCCCCTCCTTCACGTCCTCTCACGTCCGCTTCATCCTCCTCCTCCTCTTCGGCCTGTTCTCGCTTCCCGCTGATTGCGTCTTCACCTTATGCTCCTTCGCCCCATCCTCCTCCCCCCCCGGTGCTCCCCCTCCTTCCCCTCATCCCTCTGATCTCGCTTCCCGCTGCCTGCTCCTCCACCTCATGCTCCTGTCCCCCATCCTCCTCCCCCTGGTGCTTCCCCATCATTCCTCTCCCTCTCCTCCTCCCTCTCCTCCTCCTCCTCATCCTCCTCCTCTCCTCCTCCTCCTCCTCCTCCTCCTCCCTCTCCTCCTCCTTCCTCCTCCTCCTCCTCCTCCTCCTCCTCCTCCTCCTCCTCCCTCCTCCTCCTCCTCCTCGTCCCTCTCCTTCCCTCCTCCCTCGTCCTCCTCCCTCGTCCTCCTCCTCCTCCTCCTCCTCCCCCTCCTCCTCCTCCTCCTGCTCCTCCTCCTCCTCCTCCTCCTCCTCCTCCTGCTCCTCCCCCTCCTCCTCCCTCTCCTTCTTCTCCTTCTCTCCTCCTCATCCTCGTCACCATCCCCGCGTTCCTCGGGCACACCTTGCGAAACGAGCGATCCTTCAGGCGCCTGAGCTGGCAGTCCATGAACATGCGCAAGAGGCCGCGGACGCCGATGGTGATCGAGCCGCCTGCATGTCACGTCGTCGTCGTCGTCGTTCCCATCATCACCATCACCATCACCATCACCATCACCATCACCATCACCATCACCATCACCACCATCATCATCATCATCATCATCATCATCATCATCATCATCATCAGCAGCAGCAGCAGCATCACCACCAGCATCATCATCATCAGCAGCATCAGCATCCTCATCAACATCAGCATCATCAGCATCGTCATCGTCGTCAGTTCCATCATCAGCATCGTCGTCGCCATAATCATCACCACCATCACCATTACCACCATCATGTTCAGCATCATCATCATCAGCAGCATCATCACCACCACCATCACCATCACCATCACCATCACCATCACCATCATCATCATCGGCATCAGCATCAGCATCATCATCATCATCATCATCATCATCATCATCATCATCATCATCATCATCATCAGCGTCATCATCAGCATCACGATCATTATCATCATCATGTTCACCCCCATCATCATCACCACCACCATCATCATCATCATCATCAGCAGCAGCAGCATCATCATCGCCACCATCAGCATCATGGTCATCATCATCAGCAGCATCATCATCATCATCATCAGCATCATTGTTATCACCATTGTCATCACCATGCGGACGCTCCGCCGCCATCGGCGCCTGTGGCCACGAAGGGGCGCCGCGACGCAATGGTGTCGGAGAGGGCGGTGGTGCAGGCGAGTACGGTCATCGCCCGTGGCTGACATCTTCGGCGTCACGACGTCGGCCGGTCAGGTCACTACGCTGCAGATCGCGCAGGCCGTCCCAGCACCTCAAGGACAGCAACGGCCGTCGTGCACTTGGCGGAGAGCTTCCCTGCTCAGCTGCGCGTAGAGAACCGCGAGGAGGAGGAGGAGGAGAATGCGACCCAGCCTGCGCGGCTGTGAACGGGTCCAAACCCGTGGAGCACGTTGGGATTTTGGCTGTTCAACATCGGCCTTCAGCCTCATTGTGCCTGCCGCTGGTTGGTCGAAGCTGTTCGGAGTCAAAAAGGCGGTTTTGGGCTTACCGGGTCTCGCGGCTAACCGAGCACGAGCGACTGGAGCGTATGCTAACCTTCTCCTCTGGTTGTGGTGTTGTCCCATATGTTCTTTAGCGCCGAGCTCGACTTGGCCTTTGATTGCGCGAGCCATTTTACCATCAGCCCGTTCGTGGTGGTGTCGTGGGCGCTTCTGGAATGTAACTAAGCTTTGGCACCCAACCCAACGTATTCAGCCATTACCACCAGCGCCTAAAGAGTCGCTCGGGATCTGGATTGGACATATGGTGGGGATTGTCCTGCGTGCTGTTTGACGTTTCGTGCCGCGGGTCTTGTAATTGCAGCCCGCAACGATTATGCTGGCATATTAGATGTGGACGTTGAACTCATTCCCGAGGGGCATTCGAAGGTGCACATCTTTCTACGTGGTGTGTTTCCTTAACCCACCAGACGCCCAGTGAAGCAAAGGAGTGGCCAACCATACGACACTACATTGGATCGTGTGCTGCATGCGCTGACCATCGTCGGCAAACGGGGGCCTTCTACAACATCCGTGAGGCCTGGTGGCAGGAGCAACCCAAAGTTGTGCTGAGCTCGGAGTGGGTCACATTCCCAGCGCATCGACGAGCTGAACGAAGGAGTGAACTCATTGTCGCTGTTGTGGAACTGGGTTCGTTCGTCTTGGATCTGTTGCGAGAGAACAGGCTGTGAGTCCCACAGGCTGGTCGGCAACTTCCTGCTGTTCTTCACCGTCGAGGTCGGCGTGATTCCCTTTCTGTTTTCCTTTCTGCTAGCTTTGTGTTTTCGTGGTTCCAGCCCAAGGTCGGCTGTTCCGAAGCACAGTGCAGCAGCAGCGCCTGTGACTAGAGCGGCTTTGGCTGCACGATTCTGCATTGCCTGCCTGGACGTGGCAACTGTGCAAATTACTAGCTTCTGTGGATTTTGCAATGCCTCTGCGCGCTGGAGTCTGGGATGGGGCAATACTCAATCGTGGAAAGCATGCCGGAGGCACTGTGGCAAATACTGCACACAAGTTCAATTATGCGCGTTTTCGGCACCCTGGGCGGGGTGGCGCCCCAGCAGTGAAGTCATACAGCCACCAGTGCCGGCCCACTCTGCCTTACTTCGCCTAACGCTCTGCGGAAACTGCGTCCTGATGGGTCTCAGGCCCTGCGTCATCTCTGGCGTCCGTGTTAACATCCTCTGCCTCCAATCCCCCCCCGCTCGTTTTCATCTTCGTCGTCTTCAGGGTCGGCGGCACCGGCCGTAAGGCCTTCGCAATCAGTGAAGCCCGCCGACGGGAAGGCAACGGGAGCTCGTCCAGGCAAGGAGCGGCCTAGGAGGGCTACTGATCCCAGACTGGCTGCCCGAAGAGGACCGCGAAAGGCGGGTAGTGGCCCCAAGAGCGCCGTGAGAGCTCACATAAAGGCGCCAAGAGAGCTCCCCAGGGTCTCTAAATTCACCGCTGTTGGCCTCCGTGCTTCACTGTATCTTGTCTACGTCCCTCCTCCCAGCAGATTCCTTGGGTATCGCTTCTGGATGGGCCGTCTCCCTCCTGCATGATTCCTCTTTTCGTCCTCCCACGTCCTTTTCCCCCTGAAGAACACATGCCACGAGACGTCTGGCGACACATGTGCCAGAACACCCCAAGAAGACCCCAAGAAGACCCCAAGACGGCCCAAGAGGCCCCCAAGGCGCCCAATAAATATAGCCTCGAAGAAGACGGCCAAGATGGCTTCCAAGACGCCCAGTATGGCCGTCCAGACGGCTCAGATGGCCCGAAGATGCACCCAAGACGGCCTGAGATGGCCTGAAGATGGCCTTCGACTGCCTTAAAGGCCCGCCAGAGGCCTCCAAGACGGCCCAAAACCCCTCCAAGACGTCCTCCAGGAGGCCCGAAAACTCGGAAACCATCTGGTCCGATAGCTCGCCCGACCCCGTGTTCCCCGAAAACGTTCGAAACCCACTCGGGGAACGCGTGGCCCGATATCTTGGCCAAGCTCAAACCCAACTTTCGGCCACGCAGGCGCTTCCAAAAAGGCAGGGTGCGGCGGTGATTCGCCGTTGGCGTCTTCGATCCGCCGCCCCGTGTTGATTGATTCATCACAACGGTGCCTGGCGTGCTAGCTCCTTTCGGTTTTGGTTCTGGTTCTTTCTTCCAAAAAAGAAACTCCCCCTGGGGCTTCGGCCCAGCCCGCCAGGGTCCCGGAAGGTTCCCGAAAATGCGCCTGTAAATGCCTTTCTTGCTCCGAGATGGCCTACGATGGCCTCCATGACGGCCAAGATGGCCCAGGATGGCCCCCAAGATGCCTCAAGGACGGCCAAAATGGCCTCCAAGACGGCCAAGATGGCCCCAAGATGCACCCAAGACGGCCCCAGATGGCCTCAAGATGGTCCAAGACGGCCCAAAGGGCCCAGACGCAGACGCAGACGCAGACGCGCGAGTCCGCCGGCTGGTGGGCCGGCAGGCCCCTTAGGGGCGGCGCGGGCGGGCCGGAGCCTGGTCACAGGCATGTGAACTTCAAGAAGTCGCTCTCCAGGTCCGCCCAGAATTTGGAAGTTGTATCACTCTGTAACCATGTGCCGGGTGTGCTTCCAACCAAAGCCATCTGCAAAAATTCTGTGATGTCGTCACTCCACCGCTTTCGCTGTCCGCCGCGTCGGCGTCGCGCTGCCCGGGGGTTATGGATATCAGGTTCCCATGCCGCCACCAGTCGGGCCCAGCTGTGGTGTGGTTGTGTAGCAACTCGCCCAGCCCATCTCCATTTACGCTTGTGAAATATTGCAAGCCGTTCCTCCAGATGTGCGCGCGTCGCAAGGTCTGAGTCGGTGTGGGTAGCCCTGCGAATGAAATTGTCCCAGGATTCAAAATCGGATTCGTCGTCGACGTCGTCAAAGTTGAGTTGCTGTCAGAGGCTTGACTTGCTGTCGTCACTTGTGCTGTCGTCATGCTGTTCAGTGTCGGGGTTGGTTGTGTTTTTGTCGGTGCTGGCGTGGGGTTGTCTCTGTCGGCGTCTCGAAGTATTAACAAGGAGTCGTAGCATGCGTCGTTGGGTGCGTCGGAGTGTCAGGAGCATGTCTTTGGTGAGAGTCCACGTTGCGCAGCCATACATGACCGTTGGCGCCACCGTCCCGCTAAGAGCCCGAGCCTGCTGCGAAGGGGGTACCGGCTGTTTGTGAGCTCGTTGCGGAACTGGTAGGATTTGCGCCACCCCGTTGCAAGTCTGTTGGCGAGCTCGGTCTGGTGGAAGTCGTGCAACGTCAGCTTGCGACCCAGATATTTGGAGCTCTCCTCGGCGCCGAAGATTGCGACCTTGTCCGTCGATGTCCACGCGTGTAATGCATCGCCCCGGTCGCCTGCTAACATTTGTGAAGATTTTCGCTTTGTCGGAATGTAATGCAAGTCCAGACTTCGCGGCTTCGTGTTTGAGGTCTCGCAAAGTACACTTGTGTTGTCGTAGATTGGGTGCTCGGAGGAGTACGCCGTCAGCAGCAAACCTCAGGTTGGTCAGGCGCGTCGTCTGTGCACTTCCCAATTGTACGCCGAAGCCCTTTCGTGTCCAATTTGGTTTAATGTTCCGGAATATGTGCTCGAGTAGCGCGTTGAACAAATATGAGCTGAGTGGGTCTCCTTGCTTGACGCCGCGCTCGATGTTGAATTGTCTGCTTCTGACGTCGGTCTTTGCCGTGGCTCTTTGGTCGTTGTAGAAATTTTGCAACGAGATGATGTAGGATTCCGGCGCATCTTGTTTCCTCAGGGCTTCCCACAAACACGGGTGGTCGACGCAATCGAAAGCCTTCTTGAAATCGATAGCAGCTGTCCAGAGCGGGGGCTGCCATTCGCAGGACTACTCGTGAAGTAAAGTTGCAGTGAAGAGGTGGTCCTCTGTGCTCAGGCCCTTGCGGAAGCCAGCTTGGTCAGGTGATTGTTGTGCGTCGAAATGTGTGTCAAGTCGGTTGCAAAGAAGTCGGGGCATGAGCTTGTATAGTAGCGGTATGATGGCGATTGGTCTGTAGTTGCTTGGTAAATGCGGGTCTCCGGACTTGTAGGTTACGCTGATGGTGGTGTGTCTCCACTGTTCCGGCGGCGTCTGCCCAGGTGTCACAATGTCGTTGAAGAGCATCAGCAAATGCTTCTCAATCGCGTTCCCCCCCTGCTTTCAGCAGCTCCGCGGTGAGCCCAGCCGTGCCCTTGCACTTGCCATTCTTTAGGTGCTTCACTGCTTGGCGCAACTCTTCGTGGGTGAAGGGTGGGCCGCTCTGTCGAGGTCGCCGCGCTTCTTTTCCTCGGGCGCCAGGGGTGCTGGTGGGCGTAGGTAAAGGTGTACTTTAAGGGCGCCGGTACAACTCCTCATAGAAATCCGCGAAGACGTCTGCTATCCCCTGCCGGTCCGTCTCGTTGGAACCCTTTGCTGTTGTCATGGCCAGTATGAGGTCCTTCTTCTTGCTGGACTTGATCCCAGAGATCCTGTTCAGGCCGCGGAAAGTAACGATAATGTCGTTCAGGATTGTCTGCCATTGAGAGCTTTTGATGTCCCGGCGTGCACGTAGAATGCGTTTGCTAAGAGCTGTTATGGTGGCTGTGTCGGTGTGCGGTGTGCTCCTGCGTTGCGTAATAAGTGCGTGCAGTTGTTGCTTTGCCACGTCGCCGCTGCTGTGTTTTATTGAAGTTGTTGCTGTTGATCTTGTTGTTGCTGGTAGTCTCTCTGAGCTGCTACAAGTGCTTGTTCGATGTGTGCAGCGGTGTCTCGTGTGCCCTCTGGCGGAGTGTTGGTAGTGAGGTGTCTCGTCAAATGGTGTTGGAAGTCGGGGTCGTTTGGTCGGGGAAGTTTCTGGTGCTTGTGAGTCTGTCGTCGTTTCTGTCGTCGCGCTTGGGGTGTCACGTCGTCCAGTGCTAATCGAAGGTGCACGGCTTGGTGGTCGGAGCCATAAGAATGTAGTCGATCTGCGTTTGCTTGTGGTTGGTGCCAGCGCTCGCGTGCGTGAATTCTTTGTCGACACGGTTGCAGCGCATCGCGCGTGTGTGATAGCGAATTTGCGCACGCACGCCCACGATCTTAGCCAAGTGCCGCGCTGGTTGTATCCGCTCTGCCCGTGGTTGCCGATAGTGCGTTTTTCTGCCCTGCGAGTGCTGGAATCGTCGTCGTCGTCGTCGTTCCGTTTGCCAATTCGTGCATTGAAGTCTCCTGTGATGATAGTCGTCCGGTGTTGTTGGTGGGCGTCGGCGTGTATTTCTGCAAGTACGTCGTGCATGCATTGCACGAACTGGTCGCTGTGCCCTCCGCGCGGGAAGTAGGCCGTGACGACTCGGAGCGGTTATTGCGGGAAGTCGACGTCGATGTACGCGACCCGCTCGGTGACTGCTTTGAATCTTCGTATGCGTCGTGCATGTCGTTTGTGGACTAAGAATGCAACGCCTCGTGTCGGACGGTCATGTCCAGAAGCTGCGAACGCGTGCGCGCCAGGCTCAATGACGCAATGCTCTCGATTTTCTGTCCGCCATGTCTCATTGAGCGCCGCAACGTCCCATCGTATGTCTGAAAGCTCTTGCACAAGAAGGTCGATCGCTGTGTCGGTACTGAGGCTCCGGGCGTTTTTGCGCATGACCGTGAAGTTCCCATCGTCGTTGCTGCGTCGTGGAGTCGTGATTGTGGTTTGTTGGGAGGCTACGTTGGGTGTGTGTGTGTGTGCTGTGGTTGTCGCTGTCGGATGCTGTGCGGCTAGCGTCGGCTGCTGCTGGAAAGAGCTCGTTGGTCGCAGGTCCCATGGCACGTCGCCTTCTGAGTGGCTGTATCGTGCTCGTCCGCCGCCGATGCTGGGTTGAGATAGTCGCTGTTGTTGCAATTGTAGATGCTGTTCCGGTCGCAGATGCAAATTCCTGTTGGAGGGTGGAGCTGAGAGTGGGAGGTCGGGCATTGGAGGTTGATGGTCGAAGTGCTGGGTTGGTGGGAGCTGTGAGTCGACAGGTGGAGGTAGACATGTGGATGGTGGACGCTGGAGGTCGATAGGTGGAGGTAGATATGGTGGAAGTTCCGGCGCTGGTCGCTGTTGGCGTGTGCCGCCGTGCCGGTCGGCGCTAGGGTCGCGGAGCCGTAGATCCGTAGATGGTCCAGTGTTTGGAATCGTCGTTCGCTGTCATGGCCACGCTGTGGTCGGAGAGGTACGTCTTCATGCAAGTACGCCGTAAGACAGCTGGGGAAAACGCCGTCGACGTTGGCGCATTCCGCTCGTCCGTCGCCGGAGCTGAGGCATTGCGGTCGTCGCAAGGACGCAACAGGAAAAGCCCCCCACGAGATTGTTTCGCTGACGCGAGGAAATGCTGCGAGCTGAAGGGGTCGGGGTCGATGGGCGCCTGAGCCCCAGCCCAGCCTGCCCTGAGGCGGACTCGCGCATCGCACAATATGTCCCGGAGGTGGTGGGGGAGGCGGACGGTGAAGTGAAATCAAGTAAGCGCGATGTCGAAGTGAACGAAATACCTGAGGGGAGCAATGAGATGGAGCAAATGAAGCACAAGACAATCTCCCTGCCCGCTTTACCTGTGGGGGGACAAAGAGGGGGAATACAAGAAGCACAATGCAATCTCCCTGCCCGCTTTTACCCCCATTCCAATCAAGATTGAATGCCGTGGAAAAGCTCCCCACGAGATTGTTTCGCTGACGCGAGGAAATGCTGCGAGCTGAAGGGGTCGGGGTCGATGGGCGCCTGAGTCCCAGCCCAGCCTCGTGCGTCTGGGAACCCAGATTCCCAAAAACGTGCGTCCACAGCGGCGCGGCCATCCAAGCCCCCGTGTCCGGCTGCGACACGAGGGCCCAGCAGGGCCACTCGTGCTGCGAGTCCGGCGGCAGCGTCTTGAAGGCAGACTTAAAATCTGCCTTCCCCATGGCCGGGGCTGCGTCGCCATGGCCCTCTGAGAGCAGGCGGAGCGCGGCGACCATCTGATGAAGATCATCGTGCCGAAGTTTCTGGGGCATGAAAGCGTACTCGTTCACACCGTTGGTCCTGGAATTCCTGATGCTCCTCACTTTCGGCGAGGCCGCATCTCCGTGCTGCCCCCATATACCGAATGTGTCGACCAACAAAACGTTGTTCAGATCCACGCGGTCTAAAGGCACTGGTGGCCCAGCTCTGCCTTCATCTACGTCTTGCGCGGTTTGCGCCCAGATTTCGGCCACGATGGTCTGGCCATGATCTGCAGCGCTGGCCCGGCGCTGGGCGCGGCCGAGAGTCCGGGCATTGATCTCAGCGCAGCGCTGCTTCAAGTCGGACAAAGGCGGGCCTGGCGGAGCCCTGGTCGACCTCGGCTACGGACGCCGCCCTGGACGTCAACCCCAAGACCGCCGACGTGGAGTGTCTCGGTTAGTGGGAAACCGCGCAACAGGTCGTCGACGCACGTGGTGTCAGCATGCCCAGACGCAACCAACATCTTCCTAATCATGAAAGGGACAAACTTGCCAACTACATGTTTTTGGTTTTGGGGCAAGCTCTCTCTCTCTCCACTGCTGCAACTCACTGCCATGCTGCTCTTTTTCGCTTCTCCAGCGCCGCAATGCTGCCTGCGTCCGTTCAAAAGCCGAGCGCGGGTCCTGCGCGAGAGCTGCAAGGGCGCCCCTGGGCTCACCAGAGACATGCTGATCCGGGCGCCACTCCATGAACTCATGGAATTCCAAACTGCCGCGGGCATCCAGCCTGTGGGTCAGCGCAGCTCTTTCCTCCAAGCGCTCTGGCTCGTCGCCGGCTGCTTCCCGACCAGCAGGCCCGCTGTCAAGCGACGAACGCTCCGAGGTAGTCTCATCACTCTCATCCGCGATATACTTGTCGAAGGCACACGACTCTCACCAGCTCTTGCACTTGCCCTTGGCGCCCTTCCGGGCCGGGACAGGAAGGGCCGGCGGGCGCGGGCCCCCCTGCTGCTTGTGCGCCCCCTTGCCGGCGCCCATGACACTGGGCGCAGCCCCCCGCGGCTGCTGCTGCTGGCGGCGAGCCTCCACTGCGTGCTTCGCCGCCTCGCGCGCCCGGGAAAGCCGGTTCTCGTTGATGGCCATGTGGATGGCCTCGGGGGCGCAGCTCTTGTCCTTCCTGAGGGTCCGCTCCGACATGCCGTCCCAGAGGGGCCTGTCGCACTCTGCCGCGACCCGCCCCGACTCCTGGACTGCGAGCCCGTTGGCGTCCAGGAGCTCCGTGAGCAGCGCCTGCACGCTGACGGCCTCGGCGCCGGAATGCGCCTGGACCGTTAGCTGGCTGAGCGCCCTCGACCACCACAGGGCGGTCCACTGGGCATGAGTGATGTCCACATTCCTCTGAGGCTTGTGCCTATCACCCATCCACTGAGGGGCCCATTTTGCTGCGGAGCCGTTCACTACGAAGGGCCGTTTCCGTCGAACCGCCTTCCTCGCCTTGGCCGCCACGGTGCGCAGGGCGGCGTGGGGGGGCACGTGCTCGTGGCTCACGTTCGGCAACCCGTAGGAGCTCAGACGCGCCGCGGCGTCGAAGTATTTGTCGTCCGTGCTGGTGCTGTCGGAAAACACCGGACGTGTCTTGTCCCTCCTGCTTTCTTTGCGGACTGCCTTCTGCGCGTGTTTCGCCGAGGAGGCGCCCCGTGCCGGCGCCTCCTGGGCCGCGAGCCGGGAGGCTGTGAGCTGGGCGTGCAAGCAGAGCGTGAGCTCGGCAGTCTTCACCGTCGGCGGGAAGACGTGCTCCAGGACGGACTGCGGCGCTACCTCCAGCTGCCGGTCCGAGTTCACTGACGAACCAGCCAGCGCCACGCCCGCCTGCCGTTGCAGAGACTGGGACACTTTGCCGCGACATGGGGCACGCGTTCTTCCCGGCGAAGGACCCGACCATTCGCAGTTGCGAGGGCCCAACGCCACAGGATGGTCGGGGAAAAACGGGGAGGCCGAGGCGAGACGCAAACAACATTGTCCCAAAACGTCGTTCATTGTTTTGTTTCTTCTTCTTTCTTTTGAACGCACGTTCAATGCCCCGGCGAAGGCCTCTGTGCCTGGTGGGCAATGGCGAGCAAGCCACTGTCGTAGACACTTCGCGGACTGCTCTGGCGAGCACCCTGCTGCCGCCGCCGCCTCTGCCGCGCGCCTCTGGGCGCTGTCAGGGGAACGGCCCCGTCGCGCAGGCGTGCGCGCGCGCTCTCGCGAGCGGCCCGGCGTGCGGCGCCGGCGCCGAAAGCGCGCGGAGCTGGGGGGGCGCCGCCTGCGCCGGCGGCGCGACCGAGAGCCTGAGCTCGTCATCTTGCTCGGGCAAGAAACAGCAGCGGCAGGCATATGAAATGAGTCTGGCACCCCCGCTTGCAAGAGGGTGATATGAAGTGAAATAAAATAAGCGCGATGTCGAAGAGGAACGAAATACCTGAGGGGAACAATGAGATGGAGCAAATGAAGCACAAGACAATCTCCCTGCCCGCTTTACCTGCGGGGGGTCAAAGAGGGGGAACACAAGCAGCACAATGCAATCTCCCTGCCCGCTTTTCCCCCAATTCCAATCGAGATTGAAGAACGCCGTGGAAAGTCACTCCCTACTGCGCTGCGTGTTCCCCGTCCTCCTCCCTTCGTCGGTGCGCGCTGGAACTTGATAGGTGGGGGTGGAGGTGGAAGGGAGGATCCCCGAGCTTGGGGGTCGCAGCGTTGCGCTGGTGGGCGGTGGGCGTCGACAGGTCGAAGCGGAGGTGGAATGTCGGACGTTGCAGGCTGGAGGTGCGGAGTCGGACGCTGGGTGCTGGAGGTCAGAGTGCTGCGCTGGCGGGCGCTGGAAAGCGGGAGGTGGAGGTGCAAATGGAGAGCCGGACGTTGGAAGTCCAGAGCCGGAGGGTTGCGGTGGTGGACGCTGGAGGTTGACAGGTCCAAGTGGAGGTGGACCGTCGGACGCTGGAGGCTGGAGGTCGGAGTGTTGCGCTGGTGGTGGGTTCTGGAGGTCGTTTGGTGGAGGTGGAGGTGGACAGTCGGATGTCGGAGTGTGGAGGTCGGAGTGCTGCGCTGGTGGAGGTTGGAGGTCGATCAGTGGAGGAAGAGGTGGAACATCGGGTGCTGGAGGCTGGAAGCCACAGTGCTGGGCTGGTTGACGCGGCGCATCGATAGTTGGAGGTGGAAGAGGAAACTCGGATGCTGGAAGTCGATAGCTAGGGGTGGAGATGGAAAGTCGAATGCTGGAGGTCTGGAGTCAGAATGTTGCGTTGGTGGACGCTGGAGGTCGATGGGTCGAGGTGGAGGTGGAGTCGGACGCTGGAGGCTGGAGGTCAGAGTGTTGCGCTGGTGGGCGCTGGAAGTCGATAGGTGGAGGTAGATATGGTGCTGGTGCTGGTGCTGGTCGCTGTTGGCGAGCGCCGTCGTGCCGGTCGGCGCTAGGGTCGCGGAGCCGTAGATGGTCCAACGCTTGGAGTCGTCGTTCGCTGTCATGGCCACGCTGTGGTCGGAGAGGTGCGCCTTCATGCAAGTACGCCTTCTCGGATTCCTGTGCTAGGGATCCGAATGTGTCCTGACAAGACAATCGAACAATATTTGTTAATATTGAAGTTATCGAAAATTCCAATGTTCCCCCACAGTCCGTCGGAAACACGGTGGGTCACGGGTGAAACGTTCTCAATAAATCTGTTGTCGAACGGACCGTCAGATTCTGATATGCCCTCCCATGGTTCCAGATAGGAAGCTGGGGTCGGTGGTCGTTGCCGGTGTCGTCATATGGAGTCGCGCTTATCCCGCCACCGCTCCATGAACGCCAGCACTTCCTGCTTGACCCGATTGCCGTCCTCGTAGGCCTCCAGTCCTCCATCCTCCTTCACTTCGGCAACTATGACAACCTTCAATTTGATGACCCCCGTATCCCAAAATATCCGGATCGATTTTTGATCGAAACCTTTTTCCATCAAGTGATATTTGACCTGCCCCAAGGTCTTGTCAATGATCAGTTTTTCGATTGCGTTGTTGCTCGTAAACCACATTTTCTCTTGACAATCCCATTGGGTATCCTGGCCCCTCATCTTCTGAAGGAAGCCCAACTTAGCAGACTCGGTAGTGAATTCCAGAACTCCAATTTTTGATGGGTCCATGAACGTTGATGTTTTCACAATCCTGTCCAGCATCCCGTGCTCCTTCACAACCTGTTGGATCTGCTGAATGATGTGATTCCCTTCCTCCTCCTCCTCCTCCTCCTCCTCCTCCTCCTCCTCCTCCTCCTCCTCCTCCTTTAGGCCCCCCACGATGACCTGTAACTCTCGCTGGTCCTGTGGAAGTGGTTGGTGTGCCTGCGTGCGCACGCCCTCCCTCGTAGTCGCCATCGCCTTCCCGATGTGCTCCTCGACCTTGGCGTCCAAGTCCTCGTCGAGGACAGTCGAGGGGCGCCTGGGAGCGCTTGGAACGCATTTGGGAATTTAGGGGCCAGCGGCCCCAAACCCTAAAAGGCTGTAGTTTGGGAGGTTGCCGGCCATGCGGCCGGGGGTGGGAAGATGTTGCGCCTCCTGCCCCCTTCGCCAAGCTTGATCGGGTCGGCTAAACGCCCCCCCAATCAAGCTTGCCGAAGGGGGGGCAGCCTTGCCTGGACTGTCGGCCGCTGCGCGCCCGAGAAGCCCTAAACCCTAAACCCTAAACCCTAAACCCTAAATTCCCAAGCACCTCGTTGTGCTTCTGCCCACACTCCCGCGTCACGTTCACGGTCTCCATCTCAGGCCGAAGGCTCTCGATGTCGGTTTCGACATCTTTTACTCGGTCTTGTGCGTCGCGTGCCGCTCTCAAGGCATGTACTGCCTCTTCTCAGGCCTCTTGGATGCTCTCCTTGACATGGGCGATGCCTGATGTGATCGCCGTGAGTTGAGCGTTCAGGCGCTTCTCGAAGTCCGTGAACCATGCAGGAGGGCCGGTGGAGACCACGAGCTCCTCCGTCTCCGCATTCTCGGAGTCGATCAAGTCCTCGTCCTTGCTGCCCTTCGCCTTTTGCTTCTGCGGCGAAGCTCCGGTTTTCCCACCTGGTCGCTTCGATCTCTCCGGCATTCCTGCCCAGAAAGGGGCTGCGAGCCTGCCGCGGTTCGCGGGTAGGATGTAGGGTGTGTGCGTGTTTGGAAAAGTGAATAGAATGCAGAGAACGCCTTGAGCCAAAGGGCCCAGAAGAGGCCTCCAAGACGGCCCAAGAGCGCTCCAAGACGTCCTCCAGCAAGGCCCGAAACGGCACAAATCATTGATGCTCCTTAGGTTTTTGAAGGATTTTTGTATTTTTTCTTATCAGCTCTCCGACGGCCCAAGAGGCCCCCAACATCGTCCCAAAAGTGCCCAAGAGGTCTCCAAGATGGCCCTATGACAGCCCAAGAGGGCCCCAAGAGGGCCCCAAGAAGAGCACAAGACGGCCAAATATGGCCCCGAAGAAACCGAAGATGGCCTCCAAGACGGCCAAGATGGCCTCCAAGATACCTCCAAGACGACCTCCAAGACAGCGAAGATGGCCCCAAAATGCACGCAAGACGGCCCCAGATGGCCTCAAGATGGTCAAAGACGGCCCAAAAGACCCAGAAGAGGCCTCCAAGCCGGCCCAAGACCCCTCCAAGACGTCCTCCAGGAAGGCCCGAAAGCTCAGAAACCACCTGGTCTGATAGCTCGCCCGGCTTCGTGTTCCCCGAAGGCTTTCGAAACCCACTCGGGGAACGCGTGGCCCGATAGCTTGGCCAAGCTCAAACCCAACTTTCGGCCACGCAGGCGCTTCCAACAAGGCAGGGGGCAGCGGTGATTCGCCGCAGGCGTCTTCGATAGACATTTGATGAGCGAGCCTCAAGTGAGAGCCGCATTGTGAACACGTACCCGCCTCCATCAGTTTGACGGTTGTAAGACTTTTATGCAAATTTGCGCGGCGTTCAGGCGAGAACAACTTTTTGAAAACAACGACAAATCCCCCACCGGTGTAAGCAGTGGAGTGAGAACGCCCGGCCCAGCCCACGGGCACGCCTGGTGGTTCATCAAGAGAACAATTTGCAAGGAGGAAGGATGGAGGAGGAGGAGGAGGAGGGAAGTAATAAGGAGGGCCGGGGCGAGGAGGAGGGAGAAAGAGGGACGAGGGAGGAGGGAGGAGGAGAAGGCGGAAGGAGGAGGAGAAAGTGGAGGGAGGAGGAGGAGGAGGAGGAACAACAGTAGCATCCGCAGTAGCAGGAGCAACACCCCTGCCCCCCCACGGCACGGCGGGAGCGGCCCACCCAGGTCGGGCGCAACGAACTGCGCGGCGGTGGAGTTGCGGCGCGCCAGCCAGCTTTGGGCCGGCTTCTTGCTCTTTGCGCCCGCAGCCCCTGCTCGTCGCCGTCGTCCTCGTCGTCGTCGTCGTCGTCGACGTGGTTCTCGCCGTCGTCGACGTCGTCGTTGTCGTCGACGTGGTCGTCGTCGTCGTCCTCGCCATCGCTACAGCTGTCGAGGAGGAGAAGGAGAAGCAGCAGAGGGGGAGGAGGAAGAGAAGAGGGTGAGATTCAGCGTCTCTCCTCCAGGCCAGGCTCACCCTGGAAAGCGTCCAACGTTCTCAGCTGGCACTCGGCGCCACCCGGGGCACGAGAGGGGCGAAATCGGGAGCGGGGGAGCTCGGAATCGCCAGGCGCCACTCGCTGGAGGCTTTGGCTGAGAGCAGAGCGGCGCTCAAGGAATTCTTCCAAGCATGGGGGGCTGTGGCATTCCCACCTCCAGTCATCGCCGCGCAGGTCCTGCTTCGCGTGGAGCCGCGGTGATGTATGGCGAGGAGACCGCCTTGAAGGGGCTCCAATATCACTGGGCCCGGATGACTTTGGGCTGCAGGAGAGGCCCAAGGTCGAAACCTGGCGCAGTGTGGTTGGGAGCTTCGGCTCTGGACTGGGATGCTGGAGCGGGCTATTGTGGCCCGTGAGGGGCTTTGGGTCCTCCCGAGGGGGCACTCGGCTGCAAAGCTTGCGCGCTGTGGCGCTTGGGGGTGCCCTTACTCTCCTCCGCGAGTTGCAGGCCAGTGCCGACGTGCCGTCGCGCAGGTCGCAAATGCAGATGGCCATGGCTCTCCTTTGTCCTGGGCATGGGGCCGCGCACGTCCGGTACGCGGGGGCGGGCGCTGCCGCGGAGGCGTGGGTCGCCATGGACTACTAGCCGGGGGGACAAGCCTCAGGGGCCCCTGCGCGCGGCGGGCTGGCGGTGTGGTCGCGACCGAGGGTGCGGCTATGCTCGGGGCGTGCGCAGCTGCCAAGAGGCCCATAACGAGCGGGAACGTCGCGAGGTGGAGGGGATGGATGGGTGGAGGAGGTTGAGGGGAGGTGGTCGTCTCCCTGGATGCCAGGGCCTTCGCCGCGAGCTGAGCGCGAAGCCGACCGCAAGCGTGGGGGCCAGCACGAGCGCGAAGGAAAACGCCCGCGGCTCCCACTGCGCCCGCCAAGGGCTGGAGCGCGAGGTCGGCGCCCAACGCGTTGTCCTCCCAGGAGGCCCCACGAGGCTAAATCGTGGGAAGGGCAACGGTGTCGGTACCTTTTCCTCCCCCGAGCCTCTACCAGCTCGAGGCCCCCTCTCGAGCGGCGGCTGCCGGGGTCGTGTGTGCCGCTTCCCACGGCCCGCGCGCCCCGTGCGGCGGGGCCCGCTGCGCGCGGGCCGACGGAGCGCAAGGTCGTCCGCGTGCGCTTGGAGCGGCGCGAGGCTGAGGGGAGCTGTGGCGCGGGGCAAGCAGCCCGCCCGCGCGGCTGACTGGACGCCCGCCACATATCGGAGCGAGAGCACGGCCGCCGTCGCGGGAGCCTCGATGATCCCCACAAAGTGTGCTAACGCCAACGAGGCTGCGCGCATGTGCAGGCCGAGTGGGCTCCAGCGCCTGCTTGGTGGGATGGCGGCGTTGGCAGAGTTTGGCCGGGCATCTGATTCCCGACCATTGTTCTTTTGGGCGGGGTGCCACTGCCACTTCCTCGCGTGGAGGGTGGGACGCTCGGAGGGAAAAAATGTGTTCGCGCCGGCGTGTGCAGGGCCATGGGCAGAAGCGACCTTTGGTGCGCGGCCAAAACGGAGGTCGCGGGGTGGCCAAACCTGGGCGTGCAAGCCGCTGCTACCGCTTCGAATTCAGCGATCGGGGGACCCCATTGGGCCCGCACCATAGGTCGCTCCAGCGAAAGGTCACTCTTGCGCCTAGTCGATGCCGGCACACCGACGCCATTCAATCCGCCACCGGGAATGGTGCCCGTTGAGGCGTGTTGGAATGCTCTTCTGTTGTCTGGGAGGTTCTGTGAGTTTTCTAGGGCCGCCCCCCCCTTGCCGCGCGCGTGCCTTGAGAATCGCCGTCCTGTATTTGCCTTCAGGCTCTGTTTTCGGCCTCCACACGGCCAAGACGGCCTCTCAGAAGGACTCCAAGACAGCCAAGATGACACCAAGAAGGCCCAAGATGGCCCTTGACAGCTCAAGAGGCTCCCAAGACGGCCCAAGAGGCTCTCAAGACGGTCCAAGAGGTCTCCAAGACGGCCCAAGAGGGCCCCAAAATGCCCTCCAGGAGAGTCCGCGGAGGCCAAAACGAATGCTCATCCTTAGGGTTTTGATGGATTATGGTTTTTGCGCCTGTGGGGGTTTCCGACCGCCCAAAATGTCCCAAGAGGCCTCCAAGCGGCCGCCAAGGTTCCGGGACAGCCCAAGAGGCCCCCAAGAGGGTCCCAGGTCGGCCCACGATGATCCCAATATCGCCCAAGGGGCTCCCAAGAGGGCCCCAAGATTGCCCTGAAGCGCTCCAAGAGGGCACTTGACGCCCAGAGAGGCCCCTAAGACGGCCTCCGAAGGCGTCAGACTGGCCAAGAGACCCCTAAGACGGCCCAAGAAGCCTCAAGAGGCCCCAGAAGGCTTCCAAGAGGCCCCTGAAAGGCCCTCAGGAGGTTCCCAGGATGCCCCAAATAAGCCTTCTCTTCCTCGTCCTCAATTCCTTTTTCTTATAAGCAACTTCTCCCTGCCGCACCCCGAGGCCAGCTTTTAGGGCGGGCCGGGCGTTTGGCTTGAGCCCTCCTAACCATTATGGCTCTGAAATTTAACAATTGACAACCGTTTCACAGATGGAGGGCGGGCCGTGTTCAAAATGAAACTGTCGCCTTAGCGACGCGCGCATTCGTTTTACATATTTGCAAAAAATTCACGGATTGCGGGCGAATCGTTTTCAAAATGTTGCTCTCGCCCTAGCGCCGCGTACATTCGTTGTCACCATTTGCAACAGCTTCACGGATTGAGGACGGCTCCTTTTCAAAATGTAGCGTTCCCCTTAACGCCGCGCGCGCTCGTGATTTACACCCGCGAGAATTTCACGGGTTCCCATGATCAACGTACCAGAAACAATGTGTTGGAAGGGCTCATGGTTATGAGGGCGCACAGTTACGTTGATTCGCGGTGTTGAAGTCCCAGGAATGGCGTTTTGGAGAGATTCAGGATTGTCAAGACGCAACAGTCAGGTTGATCCATGGCGCTGGAATCCCGAATCTTCAAGGGGTTGTCTTCCAACGGGGTAATTCCCTCAGTGGAAGTTAACCGTTGTAGGGGCCTGTGAAGAGGGAGATTGGTGGGAGGGTTTACTCCAACATCGCAGCTGACTCTCGGGTTCTGGTTTTCTCTCCTCCTCCTCCTCTTCCTCTTCCTCCCCCTCTGATCATCTTGAGACGGGCGTCCCCGCGGGCGCCCCCTCCTTGGGGGAGTGGCCGGTCTATTAGCCTGCCATGGCGGGGCCTTTGGGGTTCCCGCATCAGGAGGGTAAAGACGCTGAAGACCGCTAGAACGAGCACCACTGCAGGCGCGCGTGCGATCTGATGTGCGACTGGGAACCCGACCGCGACGTATCATGCAGTCACTGTCTTTCCGTTCTTCGTCCTTGTCATCGTCGCGATGGTTCTTCTTTCTCCAGACTGGGCGGCTTGGCAATCACTTCTGGCGGCTCATGGATCGATCTGAAACAACAAAAGTATAGTGACATTCGTCATTATGACCAAACTCATATTGAATACGCTCAGATAGGTCGCCAGCGTCTCGCGGGTTTCCCCGCAGAGGATCATCGCCGATTAATTCCATGCCTGTCGGGTTTCCAATCACCCAAGGATAGAGCGCCGCCTGTATTTCTTCATCTGTTGCAGGAGTGGTAGATTATGAGTCCGCGGGTGTCCCCGCCATGCCAAAATCTCCTTCAGCGGGCATGTGGAAGTGCTCGACAAACTCAATATCTGCAGGTTGCCCCGCGCTGGGTATACCCAGCCATTCTGCCAAATCGATGTCGTTGTGGCCAGTGAACACCTCCTCGAACAGCTCGTCGGCGTAATTCTCGAGGGTCATACTGGCGCTTAGATATCTGGTAGCCATGAAATTAACAATTCTGGCTGAGCAGTCGGCGGGGTCGGCTAAAAGTGATTCCCAATCAACATACTGTATGTTGGAGTCTATTTGAGCCAGATGTATTGACGGACGCCTCTTCCATCACCTTGGGGGCACTCGCGTCGGAAATGCTGTGTGCTGTGGCATGCGTCGCACTCCATAGTTTTACCGTTGGCATCCCTTGGGTTTCCCCGCCGCCTCTGACCTTTGCCCGATGTATGCCCGCGGTTTCTGTCAACACCCTAAAAACATTTCTTCATGCTGAGGTCTAGTCAGAGACGCTAAGTCTGCTAGTGTGCCTCTGCCATGTAGTCGCCGACGCTTACCTTTACCTTTACTTCGACCCTTGCCCTTTCCTTTAAGTGACCGTCGTACAGTATGCCTTACTTTTCGGACTGGTTTCTTCATGAATTTCCGCAAGCGACGCTTGTGTTTTTTGGCTAGCCTAAAAATATCAATTGAGCTCGTTGCTCTTCAGTAAGGTATGTCAGCATATCAGAGTAATCCAGGGCAGTATCTTCGTCATCTGAAGACGTATCCGTATCAGTACCGGAGTCGAAGTCGGACTCGGCGGGTTGCCCCGCTGAGCCCACTAAGGTCATGGCTTGTATGGGGAGACCGCGTCGGGCGGTTCCCTAGGTCTGGCCCGGGAGTCTTGCGACCCCGAGGCCGTTCCACCATTCTGAGCCAGCAGTGTAGTGGTCTCAGTTGACTGTGGATCATCATTCCAGACATTGTTGGCAGGTTGCCCTGCGTTGGCCTCTACGTGGGAAGTCTCGGTTCGGTGACCGTGGCTAAAGATACCACCAATATAGCCAGGGGCTCTCTCATCAATGTGAGCATATGACCTCATACGTTCAAGTAGAGCGTCAAAGTATTGTTGGTCTCTAGGCATATGGTGGTTCAGAGGCTGCAAGAGTTGTTGTGCACGCG